TTTGTTTGGTTAGCAATTTTTTTACTGCTTGCTGACTGATTCTGTTTAACTAGTCTATGCAACATCTGTTCTAATCTCACTGTAACTTTTTAAGGTCAACCACTTTAATTTACCTATATAATAGAACCTATTTCATTATGACTATCGATTGTGTGCTGGACGCATGTTTTACAAATGTGCAAATCGGTTTGCAATATCACTCTTAAAATTTTGAATTATTAAATGACATTAGAAAACAATTAAAATTAACCAACTTTCATTGATTTTCCAAATAATTAATATAAAGAACAAAATACGGTGTATTAGTGTTAGTGTACTAGAAAAAATTGGGGTGGTCTATTACTATATTACTATTATGTTGAAGCTATTTGACCCACTGCACTTGAGCACTTTTACTATTTATTAACTCGAGGTATCATCAAAACCCCTCTAATATTTATAGAATTTGTATTTAATTTTTTACTTATTACAAAATTAAATTAATTATAACAAAAGAGTATTTACTTAGAAGTCATAATAATTTAATAATATTTTGCACATAATAAAAATAAAAAATAACGAAATAACTTTAAATCAATCAATGCAAATTATCTCAATATTAACTAGATTTATAGGTATAGCATTTAAACTAACAATTAGTTTAAAAAATTTTAATATTTCAATAATTAAGTTGTAAAGGATAGAATTATTTCGCACTATCCATTTAATTGAATTTTCCATAAACGAACTTCATGGTTTCCCGTTCCTAGGGAATCCTAGATAAATAGTAAATAGTTTTAGAAAGTGAACCCTACCGTTTTCAACAAATTTTCTTTATCGTAACCAACATTAATATTTCTTTTTCTTTTGTCATTCAATCACATGGGATAGGTTGATAGATGAAATGAAAAACGAATCGAATTCTCTTCCAATAGCTAAAAAAATCCTTTTTTATAAGACGCGAGTTGTAAGGAAATTTAATAAAATTTAATATTCTCAAAACGAGTAGTAATAGAAATCAATTAATTTTTATTTTTAGTTTATTTTTTAAAATGAAATTCAATCAATATACATATTTAAAACGATAAGTTTATTTCTAGAACTTATTTTCAATAGTTATTATAGAGTCCTGAAATTATTTACGAAAACGGACAGACTTACTAACCCCCGCAGTATTGAATCTCAGAATGGTTACAGGCTCCTTGGGGAGGTATGCAGATCTGAGGTCAATTATTGCTTAGTCTGATGAAGTGATAAACAATAATCCAATCAAAGCTAAAGAGGGGTTTTGAAGATACCTCGCAGTTAGTAGAGAGTAAAAGTGCTCAAGTGCACTGGCTCAAATAGCTTCAACATAATAATATAACATATTCAACCGATTTCAATTTTATTTCAATGTGTAAATATTAAATATCTTTATATATCTTTTATGTATTTTCAAATATATTGGAATTGGAACATTCTAAATATATTTGAAATATTGTTGGAAAATATTAAATCTGTAATAAAGAAATTTTGTTTTCCGTAACATTTTACAATACTATATTAACTAATTATTTTAAACAATAAATTATACACGATTTTGTTAATATTATAAAATGTTACAATTCCTTTCAAATAATCCATGTATCAATATAAAAATAGAATCAATACGAATAAAATCAGCAATTTAAGCAATTTTATTTTTGTTTCTTAGAGTCAGAATACTGAAAATATACCCCTAACAATTACATTGCGAGTGGCTTTTCCGGGAACACGATTTTGCTATTTTTATATAGTAAATTCGAATACAAAACCGCAACCATAAAGCCATAAAGAATTACTATTACTATTATTTAACGCCTCTTAGCCTCATTGCAATTATTAAATTTTCAGCTTTCTTACACTCAACACCATCACAATGTCTTGCTCTATTTTTTTGTGTCCAACATTTTTTTCTAAATTATCCGACATGTGTGCCAAATTGCACGCCAAGACGTCCTCATAAAACTCCACACAGTTCTCTTTTTGTGCCACATAAGCGATTTTTTCATATAGCAACTACATCTTACCAACGGTGAAGGTCAATGGAACTAAAAAAAACTGCTTCATCCACAAATAATATTAGAGCAGCAAAGGGGTTATACTTTGCAAGTATATTCCTCATTGTTCACCTGTCTGCACATTTAAAATGGACATTTCACACCGCTGAGGTGGAGCTACCAGTATTTAACGCACGGCTGTTCTATAAAAATTACTATATTAGAGCAAAGAAATTATTGCAAACCAAGAAAAATATATGAAAAACATTTTCCTTACACCCAAGCGACTGTTATATTTATATCGCATATAAACCCATATTTCTTGCACGACATTAGCTTCGCGTTTAGCCGGGAAAATTGTAGGTTGCAGGCCTGATTTTATGTACGTAAGCAAATTTTTGCGATTCGTTGTGGTATTTATGCAAACTATTATTTTGTGTACACCTTAAAAATGTAGATTAGTCAAGTATTCTTGATTAGCTAATAACATCTCGCAATGGGAGCAAGCAGCAGGTCCCGACTGAAGGTCAGCAGAACGTTTTATTAAATATTTGCTTAGTCGTAATAGTCGTGTTTTCACGCTTTTATTGGCAGTTTTCGGAGGGCTGAACTATGAAATGGTATGCGTGACATTGGCCTATGGAAATAAATGGGTAAATGATTGTTGCTCGAATTGGGCAGTCAGCACGACCAATTTAGTTGAAAAGTTAAATTATAAAACATAAATATGCCTGTACGTGCCATTTTCCTTGAGATGTCTTATTACAGCTCAAACTAATGAGCTAAATTGTACGTACAAGTAGCCTTCATTATAACCAATAAAGTATAAAGAAACCTATGACATTGGCAAATATTCTAATTATTTCCATGATATATCTCTTACGTACTACAGTAAATAATCTGATTAATTTATTTTTACAGAATGTAAGTAGCACGAAGGAAACTGTGTTTTATATGAAATGAGGCCTTCCTCAACTAGGCAACTAAAGTTTCATTCAATTACAATTTCTTAACAAAACAAACTTTATAAACTTTTTTCATTAACAAAGCTAAACCTATGATTTATGTTTCATTTTTATCTAATTACTTTTTTCATCATTTTTTTCAATTATAATACTAAAATCCAGAAAAGCCGAAACCACTTGCTATTAAGCTATAACTCAATACTACTTATCACTCCTGTAGGACTTTTACTGCTCACAAATGCTGTGAACGACACGAACTACAACAAAACCAATTCTAATACTAAACTAAAATTCTTACTAAACTTATTAAATAAAAAAAAACAGCGTTTTAACCCTTTAATTCATGTAAAAATCATACCCGACTTGATAATATCCATATTACATTTAAATCAGCGTCAAGGAGCTTCAATTGATGATGCTACACTAGAAATCGGCAATAAAATCCACGACGAGTTAAAATACACTAATTAATTAATTATGACCATTGGCATATCAGATGGCACAGTGAGTTACATTTTACTTAAAACTAAGAAAAAGTATTAGCGAGTAGTTTCGAAGAAGTTTACTTCGATACGAACGAAAAGTAAGACATTGGACTTGGTTAGGTGAACCAAGTCCGATCAACATAAAGTACGTTGCCTAAAATAAAGATCAACCCAAAAGAGGGTGCCTGTACAACTTGTCGTTGAAATAATTTTGTTCGTTTGGATTATACTCCAACAGCTTGTATGTATTTCTTGTACTGCTAACACGTGCTTGTCTTTTTAAGTGGGTTCTCGCGTTAAGGTCATTGGATCCACAAGGGTGTTGCAGTAGCATAAAAGGACCTGCTATATTCCTTAGCAAGTATAACTCATTAAACAAAGAACTACGATCTGGATTGGAGTAGGTGTTTTACGTTGATTTTGGACAGCCGGTAATCTAGCATTTTCATTACTTTATTGATATAGTCAAAATGCAGTTGTAGGGTGAATATATACAATAATTGCAGCCCCGATTCGAAGTGAATTGCATAGGATGGTGTATTTTGAGTTAGCTTAAAAATTTTCTTTATGTATAACCGTTGTAATTTTTTAGCGTTATCGGAATATAAATAACCTCAATATTTTATTTTGTAATATCTTACTAATTTGGCCACATATGATTATATATATTCAATCCTTTTACTCCTAAGAGGCGCATAGGGCCGCAACAAATATCTTCCACTCGGTACGATTGGTGGCCAATAGCTTCAACTCTCCCCAGCTTATCCACATATGTAACATTTCCATACTGATTTGCCTTCTCCAGGTGTGAGCAGGTCTGCTCCTTCTTCTGCTACCCATCGGGTTCCACTCAATCAGCACTCGTCTTGTGGAGTCACCAGTCGGTCTACGCAAAGTGTGACCGACCCATTCCCATTTGCGTTTTTTGATTTCGGTTCTTATAGTCTTTGACCATATATGATTAATTGATAAAACAAATAACACAAAAAACTATTATGCATAAATAACAAACGAATTTGTAATCAAGTATAAATTCTATTAAAAAAAAATTTCTTTATTTGAGGAATAAAAACTTACCCGATGTCTCAGTAGTTGAAATGCATTCATAAATATAATAATGATATCTATAAATAGTGGCAGATAAGAACTGATGTACAACAATCTCAGTATTTCATCATATCTTCATTTTTATAACAAACTTTAATTACCGATTAGAAATTGTTGCATTTATACGAGTTCACTTCACAACGCAAGCTAATGGCACATCTTCATGTGTAGTGCTTGAACTTTTTAACACATTTTATTAATTATTTTTTATATTAGTAATAAAAAACATAAATTCTTTATGAGGCACTTGTTGATATTCAACCGCGAACAGCCGTTTTCTTTTCTTGATTTGGTAGCACTATTGGTTGGCAGGCATTACTTTACGAAGAGCGCCACAAAAGCAAATACAAATAAAATGCGTTAAAGCATACGAAGCAAAAATTTGACAGTGGTACTCTTCGGTACAACTATTTTCTATAATTTTGTTTACAACAAATAAAAACACTGGCGTTGAAATATATAAAAATCAATAAAGTCGGTCAAAGGTAATTAATTGAAAGTAAAAATAATACAATAAATAAATAAACAGATTGTGTAAAGTTGCATTTAAGTAAATAAAATTAATTTTTGGTATCTACAATGAAATAAAATCGATTTTGTGAAGTGGTTGTCTGATTCATTCTTTATTGTACGATAAGTCTGTCATAATCTCTGTTATTTTAATAGGATAATCAGTGAAATTTTAATAATTAACATTAGTAATTATATTAAAATAAATACGATATATATTAAAATAAAATATGCTTTTGTAAATACATCTAGGTACCACGTCACAGCCCGTAGCGGCTTGCTGAAGTATGCCCAGTAGCTTGTTATTTGCCACAAACAGTGAAGGTCGCGTTTATACTCTCTCCACGAATTCTTCATCATGGCGAGAATTTCCATATGTTGGCTTGGAGTTCAAAAAAATCTCCACAGTGCCAAATTTCATGTGGGCGATTGGTGGCGACCGACAAGTTTATGTGCATGTACATGGCCTGGATGTTCCTATACGTGTTAAAGAAGAATCTTATGAAAATGAACGTTGGATACCAATTGAAGGTTTTTCAAAAATGCTACTACCTACAGATCGTTACAAGTACTCATCATCTGATGGTAGTGCTGAGCGAAGTATTGATAAAATACGTTTACCTTCGATGGCTTGGCAATGGGACGGAGATTGGCATCTTGATTTAGACCTGGATGGACAAACTTTAGACGAAGGTTGGATGTATGCGCTAGATTTTCCCGCAACATACAGTGCAAAATGCTCTTGGAACTCATATGTCAGACGTAGAAAATGGGTGGGTATGATTTATTTTTAAATATTTACGAAAGGTATGAATTGTATGGTTCATAACAGATACGCTTCCGTCGGTATAGCGCATTGAATACTTGGTGTGCTGTTGCACCGCTGCATAAAGATCCAACACAAGAACCTTTTATTGACGTTTCTATTGGTGGCAATAATGTACCTAATGCACCGGCAGACACACTAATTGTTTGGGCTATTACAGCACATGGCAGGGTTTGTGCTTTTCTTTAATAATTATTTTTTTTTAATAATAACATAATTCTTATGTACAGGCTATGTTTCGTACTGGCGTAAATACAACAGCACCGGAAGGTTTGCGGTGGACAGCCATAAGCACACCTGCAGGTTGTGAGCTAACACAAATAAGCGTGGGATCAACAGGTCTCGTTTGGGCTGTGCTGCATAATGGTCGAGTACTAGTGCGTTCGGGTGTAACACGTGACAATTTGTGTGGTGAAACTTGGTTAGATGTAAAACCACCTACACCCTCCCAAACTACAGATACTTCAAATGGTTTGAAAATTGTGCAAGTTTCAGTGGGTACCGATACAGTTTGGTGTGTAACAAATGACCATCATGTTTGGTTTAGACGTGGCATTAAAGGTGATGCTGCGGGTATAAGTGAAGATGCTGCAATAGGAAGTGGTTGGGTAGAAATGGTTGGAAATATCTCCATGGTCTCAGTTTCTCCAAACGATCAGGTAAACAAAATAAAAAATAAAAATATATTAATATTTTGTTAATATTTTATTTCCTAAAAGGTGTTCGCTGTTGGTGCTACTGATCGCAAGATTTTATTCCGCGCCGGAGTTTCTGCTTCAGACCCAACTGGTAAAAAGTGGCGTCAATTACAATGCCCAATGCAAATCAGTCGCACTTCCAGTTCTATGTCTATAGTATCGCGCAAAAGCGGTAGTGGCTCAACGCCAGGTTCCAAAACACAAAGTTTTTCAAATTTGTATACCAAAGAAAAAGAGAAGGGAGTTGTCGAAACTTGTGCTATTATCGAAAATTTACCGCATAGTCCAGCATCTACTAGTAGTGGTGGATACTCGGCACAAACAAGACTTAAGAATGAGCTTT